AACCACAAAAACCTAAAAGAGGTTTGCTGTCCAGTGACAATCAATGGTTACTTTAATTTGGGATAAGAATATTTAATGTTAAAATGCCTTAACTACAAAATGACATCCTAATCCTATATAATAAAAGGGTAATACAGTGGGGCCTTGACTAACGAGTTTAATTCGTTCTGTGATGGAGGTCGTAACTCAAATTACTCGTATGTCAAATCAAAAGTGAACGAGACGCGTGATGCTGGGCTGATGTTGTGGCGTTCACTGTCACGTTCGCTGCGCCAACTAGCAGTGGGGTATCTGAAGCTCGCTCGTAACCCGAATTTTAGCTCACAACTCAAAGCAAAAAATCAGCCGAGAGACGGCTCGGCTCGTATCTCGAAAAACTCGTTAATTGGGACACTCCTAAGTCAATTGTCCCCTTGACTGGGAGTTCCACAGGAGTTCCACCAGGGGGCAGGGCCGGCCTGCCAACTGTGCACCCACACCCCCTCATCCCCCACCCCCCACAGGGTGGGCCAGCCTGACCCCACAAGTGCAGGAATTCATGCACTGGCCTCTAGTTAAATTATAAGAAAGAATACTAGCTGAATTCTATAGGGAGGTACAATGCATCCACTTTTATCTGTGTCCCCAGAATAAAGCATTATTATGGGATTGTGTGTGGTTTCACTTTAAAAGATGGCCAACCATAAAGAATGGGTAAATGAATGATGGTCCAGCCATTTGAGGGTACACTGAATAGTTATTAGAGAGCATGCAGTTGGATAGAAATGCATCCTGGAGCACTCTCCAGGTGTCAAACACAATTCCCGGAGCTATAGGTCATTACTTCTGTTTATAGCAAAATGTTACAAAGCAGCGCATAAAGAGTGACGTCCTTTTCATAGAACAAACAAAATGTGTTTATGTGCATACATAAAGTTCAACACCAAAATATTAATATAAGTTCTTGATATTCTGAGTATAAGTGAGTGACTTTTCTGGATTTTCTAAATCTTTTACATCAAATACTTACTAATATTGCCATACAAAAAAAGCAAAAAAGAGGGTTTAAAATAGCTACTGGAAAGAGGAAAGATCTGTTGCTCAGAGGTTTTTCCACATAATATTGCCAATTCCTTCCCTACTCACTTCTTAGGGGTAGGAGGAACAAGGGGTCATCTGAGAAAGCACCTTTAGCCAGGAACTGAGCAAGGCTCAGAAGGTCAGAACATAAAAGGCTGTATAAAAGGTGATGAGTAATAAATTGGATAACAGAATCTTAAGTGTTTTTGTGTGTGCGTGTTACTGATACTATCATCAGTTATATTATATATACTACTACTGTTAGAAAAGGGCAAGGTAGTAGAAAATTATTGTTAAGTCTATCTGAAATCTCTACTAGGTTCTTGGAATGTCTCTTTGAAATAACTTGAAATCATGTTCTTGTATTTCAGAGCATCATTCATGTATGATTTTGTATAAGTAACCAAATAATTCTCCTTTGTAGAAAAGCTGAAATAAGTAGGTATTTCTTGGTTTCCAGGGAAATTGATATAAAACTGTCTGAAATAAAAACATCAAAAGAAAACTTTCAATGTGCTTGTCTTTATATTTGGTGTTCTGACTTGTTTCTATGGAAACTTAATAGCAAATGCTGAAATTTGAGGTTTCTTGTATCATTTTATTGAATTTCCCCCCAAAATTAAAAACAAATTGAAATAAAATTTTAACTATCATGTTAAACATAAAAAGGTAAATTCTGTACTCATGAACTCTATTTTTTCAACTCTTCTGACTTAACACTCCTGATCATAGTCCTATACTTAACCCTTGTTACCTTACCTGCTCTCTTACCAGTTTCTCTGCAAGTCCCTCTATATGAGGCATTCTTGGCTTCAATTTGAAGTCACCAGAACAAACTCTTTAAAATATATCAACTCATTTACCTGGTAAATTCATGCTATTTCATGACTTCTACTCTTTTATTCTCATTCATCATAAGGAATTTAGAAATACAGAATGGAGCCCTAGCCGGGTAGCTCAGTTGGTTAGAGCGTCATCCCAATACACCACAGTTTTGGGTTCGAACTCCATCAGGGTACATACAAGAATCAACCAATGAATGCATAAATAAGTGGAACAACGAATCAATATCTTTGTCTCTCTGGCTCTTCCTTTCTAACATCAATACATTTTTAAAAAGAAATATAGAATGGAGAGGTAAATGTTGCTTGAGTTTGTACAATAATGTTGATGGAAGAGGGCATAAATGGTGATGGAAAAATAAAACAGTAATTTTGATGGAAAAAACAAGACTGGAGTAAGTTAAGATAGGCCCACTCTATGAAGAAATTATAAAATATAAGCTGCATTCTAAAGAGGTTTTTAAGCACCAGACCTGAACTTGGTGTATCTATCACTGCCATGTCAGCTTTTCTGTCCAGTAGCTGTAGCTGTGTTACACAGTCATTTCAGATCTCTTTTTTGAAATACATTTTTGATTTCAGAGAAGGGAGAGGGACAGAGAGCCTCCTGCATCAAGCCCGCAACCTGGGCTTGTGCCCTGACTGGGAATCAAACCGTGACCTCTTGGTTCATAGGCCGATGCTCAACCACTGAGCCACCACAGCCCCGCCCATTTCAGATTTCTTAAGTCTTGCTTTCTTCATTGGTAATATAGGGAGAACATATGCATGGGTCTTATTTGCAGTTAGCAGGGGCAAATGAGACATACATGAAAATGTGTTGTAAATCTTAAAAGAATACATAAAGGTCCTATTTTGGTCTCTAACACTACCCATCTACTAACTGGTTCGTAAAATCACTCACAGGCTTACCTTACAGCACCTAAGAGCAAAGTTTTCACAAGTACTTACTTGCTTTGTGTTTAAAGGTACAATTAATTCACGTAATTTGTTCCTTTTTTTCACAATATTTGAATATTCTTAAAAGGAAGTACTTTCCAGTTACAAAGCCAAATCCAATGTCCACAGGCTTATTATTCTAACTTTTAAAAAAATTAAAAGCTCAACTAAAGTTTGAATAGAGTAAGAACTATAAAACATTTTCTCTATGAAATCAAATAACCTCTGGCATTTACATGAAACAAATGGGCCTTTAACATCTCATAACTCATTGTTTTCTACTTCAAAGAACAGTCTTTATGAGCCATCTTGCTACCCAGAATTATTTTAAAACAGACATTTCCTCTCTTCTCCCTCCACCCTACCCAGCTGTTAGGTCTTGACAACTTTTACTCGACGTTCTCCAAGGTGAACGGGGTCCTACGGGCAGGAGGGGAGAGGAAGGAGAGTGAGCCATGGAGACCAACATTGCTGTGCAGGACCTGGCATCTTAACTCCCAGACCTTCCTATTACACATTAACGTCTACATTTATGTTTGTTAGTTTTTTCTCTTTTGAAACGTTGACCCACAGTCTCATGAACCACCCCATCTCTCCCTTAGAGCAGACAATGTGAGAGTGAAGTCTGTTAACTCAGTGGAGTAAGACAAGGCATATTTGCACCCAAGTGGGAATTTTAGAGTAATCAGCCTTTAACATTGGGGGGGGGGGGCATGTTCTGTTAACATTCCACATCCTTCAGGTCTTTTAAGTTCCCTCCCACATTTTCTTGCCTTCTGTATTCCAACGATAGTTGGAAGAAATAAAGCAACTGAAAACTGCGTTCTTAAAGCACACAGACCCTCCTATGCCGGTCTCTGTCATGAACTTGGATAACCCACCCTAGAATGTCTGCGTCTGACCTGCCCCGAGCATCAACCACCTCCAGGGGCGGGAGGCCAGGCTGCCAGCTGGCCCCGACCCGGCCCCTTCACCTGGGCACCGTCTGGGCAGGTGAAGACGAGGGAGATCGGATGGATGCTCCGAAGTGGCCGTGGGAGAACCTATACCCAAAAGTCCCTACAAAGTCCCACCAGACATTCAATAAAGCCGCGACCAGGACGGACGGACGGCGGAAGGGTCTCGGGCTGGGCGGGCGGAGAAGGGACCTGAGGGGAGAACCGGGTGCCGGGGGTGAAGAGGGACACTGGCCCGCAGGACGGGAAAGACTAAGGGGCGGGGACGCCAGGCGGAGCCAGCCTTCCGCCCGGT